TCAATTTCACAGCTTCTGGAAGGGAAATAGTTTGAGAATATGGGATTTCTAGTGTCTCCTCTGTGGCCACTCCAAGCAACTAAGGACACAGGGCTTTTGGAAGTCGATTTCACAGCTTTTGTGAGGTCTCTATGGGTGGGCTCTGCGGCTGCTATTGCTCCTCCTCCTCCTCCTCCTGCACCCAGTAGGTGCCATCGAAGCGGAAGGGGTGCTGCGTGGCGCAGGCGGGGGGGCTCTCCGGCATCCAGCTCTGGGCCCGCATCACGGGAGGGTTGGACAAGTGGTCAGGGCGGACAAGGAGGGTCCTGCGGGAGCCGGCGGAGGGGTCCTCGTCGAAGAAGTTGAAGGGCCGCAGGAAGAAGCCGGCCGCATTGCCCGGGGTGGCCGTGTTGGGGATGTCCTCGGCGTGCGGGATGTGCAGGAAGCCCACCGTCAGCCAGGCCACCAGGTCCTGCAGGAGAGGAGGGGGGAGACACCCCAGAGAGTCAGAGAACCATAGGATCATAGGATAACACTGTAGAACACGTGTGTAGCAGTGATTCTCTCCTCACATTTTGCCCACATCTATGGCAGGCATCCACAGAGGTTGAGAAGTCTGTTGGAAATGAGGCAAGCGGCGAATGATGCTCAAGGTGGGAGAAAGAACTCTTTGTCTGTGGGAGGCAAGTGGGAAAGTTGCAATTGGCCACCTCGATTAGCATTGAATAGCCTTGCAGCTTCAAAGCCTGGCTGCTTCCTGTAAGACAAGTCAATGCTAATCATCAAGGTGGCCAATTGCAACATTCACACTTGCCTCCAACAGACAAGAGTTACTTCTTTCTCCCACACTGGACATCACAGGGTTGCTGAGAGCCTCCAACACACAAGAGTTCTTTCTCCCACACTGGACATCACTGGGTTGCTGGGAGTTTTCCAGCCTGTCTGGCCATATTCCAGAAGCATTCTCTTCTGACATTTCACCCACATCTATGGCATCCTCAGAGTTTGAGAAATCGGTTGGAAATGAGGCAAGTGTGGAATGATGTCCAGGGTGGGCGAAAGAAAGAACTCTTGTCTGTGGGAGGCAAGTGGGAATGTTGCAATTGGCCACCTCGATTAGCATTGAATAGCC